CGCGGCAGGGCCGGAGCCTGGCCTTTCCCCAGGGTCTAATAAGCCTGGGTTCGAGTCTGGGCACTGCCTCACGGGCCTCGGACGCGCTACCGCCCTCTCTGGGGCTCAGTGTCTTTGTCTTTATGTGGGACTGCCCCGGTGGTCTGGCCCTTCAAGGCTTGCCATAGGGGCTGTGCAAACCTGTGCTTTGCCTCCTTCTGAATCCCAGCGCTCCAGTGATCGGCTGGAGACCAGGAGAGCGCCTGGCCAGGGCCTGAAGGTGTAACTGGGGCCGGTTTCCCTCACACCTGAACTCAAATTTAGGCTCTGCCTCTCATTGCAGGTGTGACCTTGGGCAAGTCCCTTTTCTCTGAGCTTCCTTTCCTTGTCTGTAAGTCAGTGAGCGTAGAAATAACTCTAGCAACAACGCTCGTATATTGTGCTCACTCCACTCGAGGCATTTAATTCTCACAGCAGATCTGCGGGACAGAAACAATTGTTATCCCATTGTAAGGATGAGGTAACCGAGGCACAGTGACATTAAGCATTGCCCAAGGCCACACAGTTTAGCCCATTACCTGGCCCTGCTAGGGCCCAAAGGTGCTTGGAATTATTGTCTCGGACCTGCCTTGACTTGGTTCCCTCACAGCAGGATGGAGCCAGGTGAAGAGCTGGAGGAGGAGGACTCTCCTGGGGGCCGTGAAGATGGCTTCACCGCTGAGCACCTGGCCGCAGAGGCTATGGCAGCTGACATGGACCCCTGGCTGGAGTTTGATGCCCGCAGCACACCTGCCACTGAGCTGGATGCCTGGTTGGCCAAGTACCCACCATCCCAAGTTACTCGCTATGGGGACCCAGGTTCACCCAACTCTGAACCTGTGGGCTGGATTGCAGCATATGGGCAGGGCTACACCCCCAACTCGGGTGATGTGCAGGGCCTGCAGGCAGCTTGGGAAGCTCTGCAAACCAGTGGGCGTCCCATCACACCGGGTACCCTGCGCCAGCTGGCCATCACCCACCACGTGCTCTCAGGCAAGTGGCTGATGCACCTGGCACCTGGCTTCAAGCTAGACCACGCCTGGGCTGGCATTGCCCGGGCTGTGGTTGAGGGTCGGCTTCAGGTGGCCAAGGTGAGCCCACGGGCCAAGGAGGGAGGGCGCCAGGTCATCTGTGTTTACACAGATGACTTCACGGACCGCTTAGGTGTACTGGAGGCAGATTCAGCCATCCGTGCAGCAGGCATTAAGTGCTTGCTTACCTACAAGCCTGATGTCTACACTTACCTGGGCATCTACCGAGCCAACCGCTGGCACCTCTGCCCCACTCTCTATGAGAGCCGTTTCCAGCTTGGGGGCAGTGCCCGGGGCTCCCGTGTGCTGGACCGTGCCAACAATGTGGAACTGACCTAGTGGGACCAAGTGGAGGAGACCACTCTGCCCCCTCATGCTGGGAATGGATCCTTCTGTCTTCCTCGTTGTCACAAGAAGGCCACGCACCCCAGCTATAAAGACTAGGTCACTGGGGACTGCCTGCATCTTCAGTCCCCTCCAACTTCTTGCCCTCTGATCAGGGCTGACTCAAGCCCCCACAGGCTGGGGGCTCTGGCTCCCTGGGGGCCGGGCCCTCAGCCTCCCTCTTTGATGCTGCTCCCCTCCACTGCCCAGGACCACAGGCTGGGTGCAGACACCCAAGAGGAGAGCCTTCTTTGGCCACCCTCATCCCTGGTTACACCTGCATTCTCTTCTTTCCTGCCTCTCTCACAAGGGAGAAAACAGTACTTCCATTCCCTCTCCTTGGAGCCTTCTTAGTCCAAGGAGCAGGGGCCCTGCAGGCTTGAGCATGCCATTTTGTGGAGAGGGTAGTTGTACCCATTCATCTCCTGCCAGAGAGAGGAGATGCCAGGACCACAGACATGGGGTCTGCCCCTCTCTGCTAACTCACACAGCCTGCGGCACCTTCCTCCTTTCCTTGACTACCTTGACATGTGCCTGCTCCTGGCATTTCAATAAAACCCAGCTTGGGTCTGTGTATTGAGTGTTTTTTAAAATACTGCCTTGGTGGTTACCTGCTTTGGTTGCTGGAAAGAGGTAGGGCTAGAAGTTTGCTCTTCTTGACCCGGCTGGGCCTCCCTATTTGCCCCTGGTAATGTCCCACTGCCATGGGTGAGCTCCCTAAGAACCTGTGCAAAGCCTGCTCCTCTTTTATCCCAAGAATCAGAATCAGTTTATCAGTGATTTCCTATAAATCCAGGGACTGACCCTCCCAGGAGGTTTCAAGGAGCCACTGTTAGCCCCAGGGTGCATTCACGTATGACAGAGAAAGGTGATCACTTGGTCCCAGCAGTCCTAGGCTGGGCACATGATTTGGGGAGCAGAGGTTGATCTGAATTTCAGCACTGGAGACTGGGCATCCTTACACAGTAAACAACCTGTACAACTATAGATGATGTCTGGAGTCTCTGCTGTTTATACTTAACCTCTTCTACTACTCTGGCAACCACAGGGACAGTTGCAAAGCATTTGCATATGCATCATTTAATCCTCACAGTCTCCTCAGAAAAAGATGCTGGCTTCATTCTGGGATCAAGATTTTGAGGCCATGGGACCAGCAGTTAGCGTAATGGCTATGTCGCTGGACTCCCATGTAGTTGACCCAGTGGCTTAAAACTCATGCCTGGCATGTGTGCGTGCGTGCCCAAAATCCCAAGAGGAGAATGGAGGAGAAGGGATTGCAGCGTGGCCATCCCCCCTGGGGATTGATTTCTCACTTTCTGTCTCTATGTCTCTCTCTGTCTGCTGTCTGGTGAGCAGACACGCCCTACATGCCCTATAGCAAAACTTCTCCAAAAAAAAAAAGAATTTGAGGCCAGGTTGGGAAAGGAGTTTTCTCAGGGTCACACCGTGAGTCAGGCAGAGCTAGCACTTGCATCTGGGTCCCTTCCTTCCACACAGGCAGAGTATGGGCCCTGGCCTCACCTGCAGTTAGCTCTTCACAGCCCACAGGACACGTTCTGTCATTCTCTCCTGATTCAATCTGCCCTGCTGAGGCTGCTGTAGCCTCTGGGACCCCAGCTCCTGCACCCCCACCTCTTCAACCCCATGCCAGCCCTGGTCTTGGTTGGGGGCCAAGGTGCCTGGCAGGGAGCCTCTTGGGATGCTGCTCTCGTGCAGGAGCTGACTCAGCCTCCAGCAGACTCACCAAATTGGAATTTGGAGCAGGGGAGCGGAGATGCCACTGGCCTGACTGGGCAGTCAGGGTGGAAGTGGCTGAGTCATGAGATGTTGGCTCAACCCCCTCCCCAGTTTCCTCCCCACCCTGAACTTCCCCACTCAGCCCAGCCTTGGGAAGTCCCCAGAGCTGGGTGGTCTCTGAGTTGGAGCCCCGGTGCCATTTCTTCCTCAGGCCATCAGTGCTTGCACTAGACCAAGGTAGGCCAAGGCTTGGGGTTCTTGGCCAGGCCCTCATGAATCCCGCAAAGATGCCCCAGTGGTAGCAGTAGCACATGGTTCTTCCATAACGGCATGTCACAAACTCATCCTCTCCCGTCCTCATGGCCCTGCCTCAGTCCTTTCCTCACCATCTTTCTCCCAAACCATTGCAACAGCCTCCAACCTGCTGCACCTACCTTTTCCATAACCAGGCCAACAACTCTACAGAGCAGACCGTATCTCTCTCCTACTCAATGCCCTGCCATGGCTCCCCACAGCCTGCAGGAGAATCCACTACCAACTACCCTAGCTTCCCTTGGGCATCCCTTTCTGTCCATGTTCACCCACTGAAACCAACTGGCACATCCTTTACCCCCTGGCATGCAGCCCTGGACCTCAGGTTGTCCTTTCAGTTTGTATACCTGCCACACGGCACTGATCACAGGACTGTGTGGTTACTTGTATAGTCATCTGATGATATCTGTACCTTCCTGGTCCCTAAGCTACATGCCTGGATTGTGTGCCCCATGAAGGCAGGTGCCAAATCTAAATCTTAACCCTTGGCAAGGATAGATGTGTGAGGTCAGGGTGGGAGAGGAATAGCTGGATATTGATTAATGGAAACAAAACTACAAGTAAGTAAGAGGAATGACATCTAGTGTTATAAATTACAGTGGGGCTGAATCTACTGTAGTTAGTGACAACTTACTATGTGTCTCAGAGAACCTAAAAAAGAATTTGGGGGCCAGCCGGTAGCATGGTAGTGGGGCACCTGGATACCACATGACCAGCTGTACAGTTTGAATTCTAGACCCAGCAGCTTAAAAAACATGCCAGGTTGAGGCCAGCAGGTGGCATGGGGGTTAAGACCTTGGATCCCACATGGCTGGTTTTGTCGTTCAAATCCCGGTAACCTGAAATTCAGGCCAAGCATGTGTGCATATGCATGCCCAAAATCCCAAAGAGAATGGAGGAGAAAGGACTGCACTGTGGCCATTCCTCTCTGGGTGGTGCTTTCTCACTCTCTCTCCTGTCTCTCTCCAGTGAGTGAATGTGCCCTATTGAAAAAGTGTCAAGGTGAAAATTTCAGTGTTCCCAACACAAAGTAATGCCAAATGGGTCAGATTAAAGGTATACTAATTACCATCGGGATCAGCAGTTAGCGTAATGGCTGTGTCGCTGGACTCCCACATAGTCGACTGCAGTTCAAGTCCCGGACCTGGTGGCTTAAACTCACGCCGGGCGCATGTGTGTTCATGCCCAAGATCCCGGGAGGAGAATGGAGGAGAAGGGATTGCTGCGTGGCCATTCCCCCTTGGGGGTGATTTCTCACTTTCTGTCTATCTCTCTCTGTCTGGCGAGCACACGTGCCCTATAGCAAAAAAAAAAAAAAAAAAAAAAAAATTTTAAA